GACATTTCCTTCGTCATATAGACACATAACCAATTCAGTTAAACTATGCACGATTTCGGAGGACGTCTTTATGTCCCATAGCTTCCAATTCCACCTGAAACTGCTCGGATCCCAGATTGGGGTACCCACTGAAGTCACGTAGCCTATCATCTCTGCATTGGATCACCGAAGATAAGTGGGATGCATCCCGCGCGCCGTCAGGGAGCCTTTGTCTCGAGCCATCCAATCGCACTCTGTAGCCGAAGGAGCCAGCCCTATATCCGCGCCAGCGCGTAATCCTGCGCGAAATGACGCCCCGCTGAGTGACAAGGGCGATCCACATACACCGATGGAGATGAGGATTTAACACCACACCGGTGCATCGGCCACTCAGCCGAGCCGAGACCGAATCTGGAATTGCGGCTCGGGTTTCTGGAAAGCCTCCGTTTCCCAGAATCCCGCCATAAAGCTACGTCAATAAATTGACTCTGACGGGAAGTGTCATGCAACCATCATGAGGAACGTCACGGGTGGAATGGCAGAAATGTCTCAACGTCAGCGTCAATGTCCGGCCATCGTGCCCCGACCGCGGCACCAGAGAGTCAATATTGAGCCAGCGTCGTGTCGGCACCGATGTGACACAGGCGGGGACACCGTCACGCGTCACGTCACTACGGCCCGTGGCTGTCCCGACATCACCGACGGAGCGCTGTCGCTATCGACGGGCGCGTGCCGCCGCCCCGCGGGGTGCCGTGGCGGCGGCGGCAATCACGGGGATGGTCGTCCGGCGGCGGCAAAGGGGCCACTTCACTGATGGCAGCGCCGACTCCGATCGGATACGACCCAGGCACGACCACAGCCGATTCCTCCAGCGATACATCCATTGATGCAACGGGAGCACAAGCCAGCCGGCTTCTCAACCGGGAAGAACCCAGACAGACTTTGATGTCACATTAGCGTCTGAGGATCTGTGTTTGAGCTTATGAAAAGAATAGAGGCATAATAATTTCCCTCTCCCGGAAACAATCGTGTATGAGAAAGAAGCAATCAGAGAAGAGTGAACGGAAATCATCGGGCTGGCGCGCCGGCAGGTCGAGAGGCGCCGGCCGTCGATCAGAAATCACTCTCGCCAACGAGGCAGGCCGACGATCCGACGGTCGGCCGACGAACAGATGGACGTCTCGACACTCGTCCGGATCGATGGACGCAGCGATAGACAATGGACCAGACAGGCAGACAGACGGACAGACGGGGACGAGAGAACGAGGAGACGGGCGGTTAGAAAGACAGACGTATACTCGGCGAACAGACGTGCAGTTAAATCAAATGAGTAGACGATCAGGTGATCGGTGTGGTGCGGTAGGTTTTCTCGTTGCCCTAAATACCGAATGACTCGACTGACGGGAGAACAGCGACGGACCGTCAATTGAGCTCCGTAATGTTTCAACATCTCATGTCAGCCTGCCCAGTCAGCTGCCAAGGAAAAACCGAGTTTGTCGACACGCACGACAGCGTAAGAGCACGCCAAGTGGCCAAACTTGGGTTGCCCAACACCACTTTGACCACTCGGGTCATTGGTGCTTCGGTTCTCACGCCACTAACAACGCCGCCGCCGCCGAAAACCGCCTGTTGTCACGCACCGAAAACGAGCCGACTAATTGTGAGCCGATCTCGCGATTGCAGCCTGTCAGCAGTCGATACTCGAGCCGAGAGAGACGTGCTTCGGGCGCGAGTCAAAGAGTATGTATTACGAGGGAGGGTGATTGGAGTTGAGTGGGGTGCAGCCGATCCCAGCAGGGCCGAGCGTGAGTCGTGGCTGAGCTACGGTCGAGTCTGTGTCTGACAGAACCTAATGGGAGGCCGGAAATCAGTTGGCTTTGGCCGGATCCCAGTCGGAGCCGCTTCCGGAGCCAGCTGCTTCCAGCGACGTCTCGGCGCTCGATGCCGTCCACCGGAAGGAAGAAGGGAAGAGAGGAGAAGAGAAAGAAGAGCCGAGGTACAGCGGCGAGGAAACGGGGCACAGACTGGCGCCCGGCAGCGTGGTAAAACACCGCAATCACACGCGGGTCGATCGGGGAGCGCCGCGCTACCACTGCACGGCAGCAGCGGTAAACAACACCTCCCATTATATCTGCTGGTCCGTCCGTGAGCGTTTCTGTGTGCGCAGGGCTGTCTGACAGACAATAAGCCACGTGCGTGCACGTCAAACACAGCCCGCTGTCAACACGACACGCAACCACGCGCCGGCGGATGGCCGCGGCACGCGCGCCGACGGGTCGGCTGGGGCCGCTCTCATGTCCGCGATGGAGCGTGCATGACGCGCGCGGCCATAAAACCGCCCTGCCGCCCGAGAGGCGCAATCAGACAGCCGTCAGTGGCACACCGACCCGCGCCGCGCGCTGAATAGCAAACCGGCCCAAACGAAACGAGCGAACAATCACTCAGTGGCGACGGCCTTCAGTGACGCCGCTCCGACCCCGAAACAATCGCCGCCGCGCGTTTACCGGGCGTTGGCGGCTGGTCGCAAATCAAACTACATTGCCAGAGGCCTATCGTCCCTCACGAAGCCCATGCTGTATTGTGCAGCCCCTCCCTCTCCTAGCGGCAGTACGCCACCGCCCGGGAGCCGCACCCTACCGTCGGCCTATCTGCCTCCGGGCGCGCCCGCCCCAAAACGACCCGCACACGTCATCAATGACGTCACCGTCCGAGGCGTCGTTAGCCGGATTTAGGAACCAGCGACGGAGACATCGCTCTGCCCCGTGCCGACCGGAGGTCCGTCTGGGCCGTCAGAATTTCGGTCAGCCGGCGAACGGCTCAGCGCGGAGCTCAGTCCCGGAGAAAAAGTCAGAGAGGAGTCAGAGTGACGGTGGCGGGGTCGCCAGCCGAGGCCGGCGGCGGCGCCGCGTCTGAGCCAAGAGATTATGAAGACAGGAGAGATATCGACGAACCGCGGACCCGACAGGATGAGAAACTATACCCGACTGAAAAGGGTTTGGATGTGATATCTCAGCATTGGGAATGACTGGCATAGGCCACTGATTGAAAAAAAAATATTATAGAAACGATCTGTAGCCATGAACGAAAATGAAAACGTGATTGCGAACAGCACCAATATCATGCAAGAGACGGAGTGGAACAGGAAAAACAAATGAATCCAGGTCAGGAGAAAGGCAGCGACACTGGCAATTCCAGGCGTGTAACGGAATAGCAGAACTGCTGCAAGTGTTTCTGTCCGAGTTCTAGGCGAGACTATTCGTGAGACCGAGCGCACCCGCTCCCTCGTTCCGCAAGCCACGCATTCAGCTAACCTTACGGAGCGGTCTTCAAAGCTGTCCGGTCGGTCCCACCTCACACCGCCCGGTCAGCGCCGGTACATTACCACTCCCCTGTCGCCGCAACCGTCGGCCGCCGTCCGCCGGTGGAGCGCGGCCCTTTCTCGGCGCCTGCTCGCTAGTCAGGTGATGTATGGTGCGGCGTCGCAGGACAAAGCGGTCGCTCGGCGCGGCTCACAGCGATGCCGAGGGTCGAGGACGGCCGGTACCTCGCGCTGGCACCCCAGAAAGGGCGCTATAGAACGCTTTCCAGGTAGGGTCGGGTTTTGAAGCCCACTTCAGGAATCTCGTCCAGAGGGCAATTCGAGGGATTTTCTACGGTCGGAACGTCAGTGAACTGTCCTCGTTCCGCTCAGAGGCCCAACTGAGAAAGTTATGGGTCATCAGTTCGGCTGGATCCGTGTTGCCAAGGTCATCCCACCGCTTTGAGCATCCCCAATACGACAGCACTTGAGACTACCATGTTGTCCAAGCCACAGCAGCATGATAATCAGATAGGATCCATGCCAAAACGGCGACATAAACCACAAATTACGTAATAGGACCACGTCCATACATAAACCTTGGATAATACTTGCAGCGCTCAATAGTAGTGGCCGTGTCGATACATTAACAACGGATTGGAAACTGTTTCACCGGAGCCCAGCGATGACCTTCGTGATTTCACTCTGAAGGTTGCTCGCTTGGCCTTCTTGTGAAAACGGACACCTTGCAAACATTGCAAACAGCTGTGACAAATCACCTGCGGCGATAGCCGGCCCGGGCCTACTTGGGACGTCACTTTGAGTGATGACTCTCTGCAAAAGCAATCCGGCCAGTCGTCCCTTGACCGGGCCCCATCCCGTTAGAGGATATTCGCCGTGCAGGTTTCTGGTTACGAGCCGAATAGTTGGCGGATGCCGTCAGCTTGTCGCCCATTCACCATGACGCCCGCCCTGACATGGCGCGTCACGTAACCCGGTGTCACGTAACGCCCGTGTCACCCGGTGTGTCAGCTGCTGTGTCAGCGGTCACGGGAGCTGGCGTGCGGGCGGGTCGCCGGCGCCGGCCCGCTGACTCGTCTCCCACCTCTGCCCCGCCACGCCGCAGCTCAGGCGAGGTGTCTGACCCGTCCTGTCAACGGACTCGACACGGCACTGCATCATGGCCCTCTCCTGCCGCTGGTCCCTTCAGAGGCGGATACTCCCTCCTCGCGTCACGAGCGCACCACATTGTCCAGCGGCGCTGCAATCCGCCAGCAGGACAGGCATCCGGCAGGAAAACGTCTAACGGGCCACGCCGACTTGTCTCCGGTTGACGCAAAGGCCACTTGACGGTCGACGAGGTCCTCGACGACTAGATGACGCAACTACCAGCTCTTATAACTTGTTCTACACGAGATCTGACATTCCAAGCAAAATTAGCAACGGCACGTGTTACGAGTCGTTCCAAAGAGACATTTTATACACCGTGCATCACAGCTCGGAGCTCATCGCGGCTGGATGCCGTCTGCAGGAACGGTGAGCTTACACATCAGAAAGTTCTAGCATTCCTGATTGGATTAACGGCTTCTGCTTCTTCCAGCAAGTCCCGGTGTGAATCCGTTATTCACGCCTTTCAAACTGGTCGTGCGATTCCATCCGCCTATCCTTGAAATCCCTCCCCTACGGGAGAAGAGCGCCTCAAGCTCAGAGGCGAGTCACTTACCTTCTTTTCAGTCATGACGTAGAGGTGCTGCTTGGGCGGGTCGAGCCGGAGGTCGGCCTGCACTTTGCTGCCCTGACGGACCGTCAGGTCGGCATACTCTGTGCCCACGATGACATCCGACAAGGGCTCCACCACGATCTGCACGAGAAAAAAAGAGAAACGAGATCAGGTCAGGTGTGGGGAGGGATCACGAGGTTAGGCGAGGTGAAGACTGAAAACAGAGGTCGCATGAGCTGAAGGAGCCTAGGGCAAAGCCAGATACGAAGCCAGATGAAAACTTGATAGCCATGAAATGATACAAAGCGTAGCTGATTGACTTACGTGGATATCGTTACCAATGTTCAAAGCCATCAATTATTGCGATGCGTATAAAGTGATTAATTGTGATTGCAAACCTCACATCCTTCTCACGGTATGACGCATCTAATAGGATTAACAATCACGCTTCAAAAATACGTTTTACAATTTGAAATCTCAAGCACGTGAGTCACTATGGACAGGAAGATTACATCTTGATATCGGCTAAGCACATTGTAAGAGCACAGTGTACACAGCATACAGTGCGGCAGTCTTGACATCGCCAACAAGGGGCCAAGGTCCAAACAATGGAGTTGAACGACAATGGCATCATATGACATCACCCCCTGTACTTCCCACTCAGGGATCTCGCTCTGGTGTCCGCGATGCGGGGCTCGACTATCAGAAACAGCAGGCCGCGCCAGCCGTCTAGCCAGCTCATCTAGCCACCCTGACGTTTATTATGATGAAGGCATTAGCCGCTGCACCGCGCTCGGCCCCACATGGCCCCAAACGCCGGCCGGGCCGGGCGTCTCGGACAATGCGCCGACTGATTGATTGATACTCGTGTCAGCCCGGGCGAGGCGCGTCTGACGATGAGTCGATTCTGCGCTCGCGCCAAACACAGCCGCGAGCGTACGCCATGCATGCAGCATCGAAGGGCAGCGTCGTCGAACCGATCATGGTCAGCCGCGCCCCTCGCGGTACCAAAAACGCTGCGCAGTGTCCGCTGTCCAACACAGCGCCGCCGAGCGGGGTGCGTCCGGCTCAGTCACCCCGATCGCACCACGCGGCGATCTGCGGCCGCTTATGGGATGCAGCGACCCTCAGCTGTCGCATCTCCTCAGTCCGTCTCAGCACGACACCGCGCCAGGGCGACAATCGGTGTGACTCAGGCTGACTCTCCGCCGACCCTGCTGACTCTCTGCTGACTCTCCGCCGACTCCACCCAGAGACAGGCCCCCTGTGCTGATGGCGCATAGTGATCCCTCGTGTGACCCCCGTGGCGCCATCCATCTCGATTCGAGAGTGGAGGCGGCGCCGAGGCTGTCCCTGGCTCCGCGCCAGCCCTCCACAGGCCGTCAACAACGTCGGCGCATGCAGCACCGCGCCTGATTTGATGTCCACGCCATGTCAGCGCGCCCGGCACCTCCCCGAGGACACGAAAGGAGGCAACACGAGTGGGTTCGACAACCAGGTACGGTAGCAGCTAGCTGGCGTAGTCGAGACTGCTTTCGTTCTACTCTCAAGATTCATGCGAAGTTCCCCAGAAATATGCGTTGATGAAGGACAGCTGAGGCGAGCGAGAGATATTTCGCAGGTAAGATAACTGTGAAATCATCAGTTCTCAGCGACGGTGGAGAAGATCCAGAGGCACCGCACGAGAGGTGACCACCGCCAGCCGCCCACCGCCCACCGCTATAGACCGTCTCTGTCGTGTTTATAGTCGCTCGACGGGGATTATGATCAGAGATAAGCGCTATGAAATCCGGGAGCGGGCGCCGAGCGGTCCGGTGAGGGATTGTCAACGCCCCGTGAACGATGGAGACGGCTCGATGACGAACGAACGCATCCACTTGGCTCGTTCCGATGTATTCCATTCCTCGGCGGGCGGCGATCCCAAGTGGAGGTCGCCACTCTAACGAAACACAGGTGACGCAAGGCGCGCTATTTCTAAAACAGCAGCCGCCCAGGACAAAGCGCCCATTTACATAACCTGAATGCGGAAACAGGCAACCAAGCTAAACTTCCCCAAATGGGCTGACTTAAGTAGCAATTCAACACGACTGCGCTTTACCTAAACAGCGTCAGCAGTTTGTCGTGCGGTCTGCGTTAATGCACCGAACGCCTCAAAGCCAACACGGGCAGGCAGCTGGTTTAGCTAATCAGGCCCGCACCGCATCAAACGCGCCATCAGCCGCACTTCAAACGGGCTGTGGCAGGCGAAGCGGCAGCCAGCATAGCGCGCCATGACAGCTCCGGCGCAGTCCCTCCCGCCCGACGTCCGGCCCCCTGCGTTCAGCTCCCTTCCCTGCCGGATTTCCGCGTTGCTGTAAGCGGTGATGATGGTAAGCCGAGTCAGATTCGGAGCCGCTGCTCTCCGCTACCCCTGAGGCTGTTTGTTTGGACAAACCTCGCTCAAGGAGGGCCCCGAAGAGTCGGCATGTCTACGCAGCCTCGTTGTTGGTGCACCGTCAACGCAATCCCTCTCTGAAGACGGCTCGGGGCTCGGGTGTCATGAGCTGACGCCCGGGGCGTCCCACGACGAAGCCGACATCGAGTGAGTCGGTCACGGGTCGCGCAGCTGTTCGTCACTGTCACGACCCCTCGCTGCACCACCCGCGGAGCCGCCCAGGTCACCGTCAGGTCATGAGGTCAGCGCTGAGGGTCGGCCAGCTCCCCGACATGGGGCGCGCGCGGCGCAGCGGGGCCCGCCCGCCGCCCGTCAGTCCCGGACGGCCCGCGAGTAAACATGGCCCCGGGAGGCGGCCCGTGCAGCGCGCACTCTCCCCAGGGCGGCGCGCTCGCACACGGCGCTCCTCCGGGCCTTCTCCTCTGGTCGGACCGCCCCTGCGCTCTCAGCGAGCTCTCCAGACAAATTGGAGCCGCTGTCAGCGCGCCCCACGTGGGGAGTCGCCGGCCGCCGCGCTCCCAGCCAGGTTCTCCGCTTTATGGGCGGTCGCGTTTACAGAGGCTCTCTAAAAGCGTCATCAGTCGGAGGGTGAGGTGAATTGTTCACCCTTCCCCTCGCCCTGTTGCGATGGGCGGTCGAGCACTGCTTTTCGCACCAGTTTCTGTCCGTTGAAAATGACAGAATTACGGGGGACGGCACCGGCTGCCTTTTAACGACTGTCAGTGACTGGGGAGAAAAGTACCAAACCTTGTTGCAACGATCCTAAGATGACATCAGTGTGACTTAGTGAACTGCCAAGCTCGGAGGCTAACTCCGTGCCGCTCCCGTATTCTCCCGGCCATCGACCCGGTCGGCAATCCCGGCCCACTATTGACGACCAGCTGCGACATTAGTGCTAAGTGGCGCGCCGCAGCTCGCCGGGTCCGCCGCCGCTGCACGCCGCGCCTCCATGGCAGGGCGGTCCTTTCCCGGCGGTGCTAAACCTGCACTCGCCGACAGTAACTGCCACGGCGCGTTTTGAATTCGAGCGAGCACCGGCCGGCCTCTGTCCACGGGCGTCGAGGGCCGTTTCTCCCCGTGCGAGGCACCGCCGCCGTCCCGGGCACGTGCCGGGCATCCATCGGCGGCGCGACTGGCCGGCGATGACCCGGGTCAGTCGGTGCGGCCCCGCCTCATGGCCGCGCGACCATCCAGCACGTACCGGACCGGTCAGTCGGCACGTGCCGGGTCGGCGCGGGGCCGACAGACTGTCTGTGCGACCAGCCCGGACCTGGCTGAGCAGACGTCAGCGACGTCCTCCAAAGGTCTGTGACGGGGTCTGAGGGTCACCCGGCACCCCATTACACCTCAGCGACCCTCGGCCAGCACCCAGTAGCACCCGGCCAGCCCGGCCGGACTGGCGGAACGACGGGCGAGCCCAGCGGCGCGGACCTAACGGGACGTCGTAAACCGTCAGCAGATGAGGTTTCGGTGACGGAGAAACCGACGTCCGGCCGCTGACGTGACATGACCCGGCCGCGATTCGTGCCGTGCCCGGTCGACCGGTCCGGTCAGCCGTGCCGGCCCGGCCGCCGAGCGGACCACACTGACCCGACCGGCACGCGGCGGGCGACTTTCTCCACTGGCGGCTGTTGCACGGCGGACTGCATTCCAACCGCGCCAGCGATGTGGGTGGTGGCGCCCGCATTCTGATATATCAAAATATATGCGACGGCGATCTAATGCATGAGGGCTCGTTGGCGAGACTGGGCGGGGTGCGACATAGCGAGTGGGAGAGAGAAAAGAGAGCCAAAGGGTGAGAGAGAGAGAGAGAGAGAGAGAGGGAGAGAGAGAGAGAGAGAGAGAGAGAGAGAGAGAGAGAGAGAGAGAGAGAGAGAGAGAGAGAGAGAGAGAGAGAGAGACGAAAGGTTTAACATAAGAACCCATACGAGCATCTGCGACCACAGGACACTTCGTAGGAGCTGCGATGTCCTAAGCTCACGCCTCTCGGCCACAATCCAGATCTGATAAGGCCCGCGCTCAAACGACCAGGATCTTGCACCAACGACGGGTCCATTTTTGCTCGTGTTTACCCAGTCCAGCGTGTCCTTGCTTTCTCAAATTCGTCCTTGGCGCAAGGCTTTCCTCCATCACGAAGGACATCTGATCGGCGCTGCAGGTTTTTGCGGGTGACCAGTGTGAGATACGACAGTGGGGGTTCTGCAGCGTGCGAGATGTCGCATAATAGTGCCATAAACGGAGCTCCGGGCCGCACTGCGAACGACATGCCAGCGAGGTCGTCATAGCAGATAGCGATAACAGCGTGAACGCTAGCCAGGAATGACGTTGGGAAGACGTCAGCGGAGAGGTCCAACTCAGCGTCAGTGCACAGCGGCGGTGACCGCGCAGGTGTCGCCAACTGACCGGTGAAGGCGTCACCTGGCCGGCCTCGGAGCGGCTGCAGTTTGCGGGCAGGGGCGCCGTGCCGCCGCCGCCGGCCGCGGTACCTATTTATCGCTGTCGGCTAATAAGGTCTGGCAGCCGGCGCGTACATCAGGCTCGGAAAGCTCTCTCAAAAGGTGTGCATTAGCGCCGGGACCGGCCGGCGCCGCGGCCACCTCTCCGAGCGCCGGGGTGGAAAGGTCAGACCGGCGGGGTGACACCGGCCGGCGGCGGACCGCGGTGTCAGTCACATCGGGCCGGTGGGCTGCCATCGATCCCCGTTGGT